GTTTATCTGTGATTGTCTGGGATAAAGTCAGGTCCACAGAGTATGTGGACCTTGGTTTATTTGGGAATCATTTCAATGGAGGTAGGTGGGGACTGTGTCTAGGAACTCAGATCTGGTCAGGGACTTTGTTGGGGAGTAGTGAATGTACTGTAGCCAGGTTTGCAAATTACATACAATAGGTGAGAAGGCCAATGGCAAGGATGACGCAAAGATTATGCAGAGGAATATAGCCAGGTTAAGTAAATGGGCAGAAACTTGGCAGATGGAGCGTAATGTGGGAAAAACGTAAGGTTATGCACTTTGGCAGGAAGAATAGAGGAGCTGCATATCTTTAAAATGGAGAAAGACTGTGGAAAGCCCTTTGCATTAATTGCAAAAAGCTAGCATCCAAGTTGAGCAGGTAATAGGGAAGGCAAGTGGAATGTTGGCCTTTATTTCAAGGAAAGTGGATTGTAAAATTATGAGTGACTACTCAGACCACAGCTTTAATACTGTGAACAGTTTAGGTCCCCTTATATAAGAAAAGCATTGGTGGAAGTTCAGAGTGTAGTGATTATAACAAGGGCAGCCAGCTGAACGTCATAGAATGAGTTCCCTGATTGGGGCTGTTAATCTGGTCCAATCAGGGAGCCCTGGCTGACAGGTAAAAATGGTGAGTGTCAGCAATACTGACACTCTGGTCCCTGAGATAGTAGGGACTGCAGATGCTGGAGAATCTGAGATAACAAGGTGTAGAGCTGGATGAACACAGCAGGCCAAGCAGCATCATAGGAGCAGGAAGGCTGAAATTTCGGGTCCCTGACTCTGTTTGAGGCAGTAGTATAGTCAAGGACTAGTTCATGTGTTAATAAAGGGTGATTTGTTGATGTGATACCAGCCTCTATTAAGTTATTTGACAGGAAAAGTTCATTAGGTTGATCTGATATGAATTGGTTGTATAGAGGACAGGTTGAGTAGATTGGGCCTGTACTCAACCGAATTTAGAAGAAAGATAGGCAAAGGAGTAATCCGTTTGAATAGGAAGATGAGGAGAAATTTCTCCTCTCAGTGAGTTGTGAATCTGTGGAATTCTTTACCACATAGGTTTGTCAAGGCTATGTCATCAAAGCTAAGCCAGACAGACTTCTAATCATAAAGGGATTCTCATCTGATCCTACTATTTTTTTCAACTTAAATTTTTTTGTTAACTGTATTCCAAGTTATTTAATCTATAGGATTATACACATCCCTGTTAAACAACTGTGATTTTTTTCCCCACTTTTTACAGATTGCAAGCGAATAGTTTCAGCCTCCAAGGGTGCAATAAATTGGCGAAACTGATGAATTCTAGACAGAAGTTACAAGTCGTGTTATAATGGAGAACAATCTGCTTCAAAATATAAGATTTGATGTTGACAAAGACTAATTTTGGCTGACAATACTGGAACGTGAATGATTTAACCAGTGCTTTTGAAATTGCGAATCACTCTGCACAGAGGAATCACACAGAAAACTAAGTTTCAGCTTTACAACAGTGCTCCCACAGCAGTCATACATGGGACAGCAAATTACACAGTATGTCAGCAAGGATATTATAGGTCTGTTAATGGTAAATCTTATGTGACTGTACACCATCTGTTCCTCTGATACATCAGACAGACTGTTCAGGGTCAGGGCAGGAGATCATGTAACTATTCAGCAAAGTGAGAGTGGTATATTCATTGTCAGAATTGTTTTATAAGGGTGCAAGGATCTGAAAGGCATATGCTGAGGAATACATTGAGCACCACCTCTGTATCTAAGATTGGAAAATTACCTCCAACGTTTTCAGTGCCTCAACAATTTCTGTTCTGATAATGTCACATGCATTTGGGAAGTGGGGAAGCAGATTGAAATCTTCAAGGAATAGGGCCTAACATTGTGATTTCACTCATCATCTCATTGTCAAAGTCATGGTAACATCATACCAATGTAAACTTGTACCTAGTTGCTATGATGCAATAGATATGTCTTGTTCAAGACAAGAGGCTCTTCACGTTACACTGCCAGGTGTTTCTCCCCACCACACCAAATTATAATGTCTCCTGCCGTGAAGCCAATTTTGTATCCAATTGACAAGCTCACCCTGAATCTCATGTGATTTAACTTTACTAATTAATCAACCACACAGAACCTTCTCAAAGGCTTTACTAAAGTCTACCACTCTTCCCTCATCAATCTTCTTGATTACCTCTTCAAAAACCTGAATCAAGTTTGTGAGTCATGATTTCCCTTCCTGACTATCACTAATAATTCCTTACCTCTCCAAATGCATATATAAATCCTATCCTTCAGAATTACAACAATTTAGCCATCATCAAAATCAGGCTTAGTAGGAACTGCAAATGCTGGAGAATCCGAGACAACAAGGTGCGGGGCTGGATGAACACAGCAGGCCAAGCAGCATCATAGGAGCAGAGAGGCTGACGTTTCGGGCCTAGACCC